TTGCAGCTGACAAAAAGAATATCTATTTCCCTGCTAGACTAGGCTGTGCTGCAATAGACTGAATAGGGAGAAATACAAATTCCTTGGCAGGTAAAACCTCTACCTGATAAGTTCAATGTTACAAAAACTGAAGCAGGAGAATAAGGTCCCAAGCAGGGCCGGTGCTTCCATTAGGCAAACTAGGCAACCGTTAGCCACTAGTACTGCCACCTAGGGGCATTTGGGTGCAGCACAGGCCGGAACTCTCTCTGTGTGAGACGCCGCCACCTTGGATGGTATATACTAGCAAAAGAGCCTATTTTTGGCCAATAGATAAATAAAAAATGGAATGGGGCAGACCAGGTTGGAAATAACGTACTAATGTCAGAATGTAATTTGACAGTTTGATGAAATTCAGACTGTGTAAAAGGCATGCACTAATACCTCTTCTTTTGACAACTTAAGGGACATCTTCACTTTTAATAAAGTTGCCCTTTGAATATATCCCCTCCCTTCTCAGTATATGCCCATATGTACAGGACTGGTGCTTCCACTAGGCAAACTAGGCTGCCTAGTGTGCACTGCCATTTATTAAATCACTACCATGCTGTATAGAAAGGGCCATTTTAATTATATATGATTTTGAACATAATATAAGCTACACACTGTTAAAGGTGTCACATTTTTATACTATGTAGCCCCCTTTTGGGGGGAGGTTATGAGAAATGATCCTCCCCAAACAGGATATTGCGCTAAACATGGTAAATACGGGAACCTTTGCTTATTGGAAGAGTAGGTTGGATAATAAAGTTGGCAGTGCCAGTGCCAGGACAAGGTCATTTAGAGCCCATGGCAAACATACCAAACTGCACCCCCCCCCCCCCCAAGATGTGTGATCATTATGTGTGAGCAAAAATTGAGCACTGATCAGCATTCTTACTCGCTAAGCACAAATCCCCCTCTCCCAGCACAAATCTTTGCCCCCCCATACTGCTTCCCAGCTCAAATCTCCTCTCTTCCCAAATCACCCCAGCACAAATCACCCACCAAAATAATCACTCCTCCTAATACAAATCCTCTACCACTCAAATTTCCCCTACAAGTACACATCTTCTCTCCCCACACTCCAAATCCCCCCCCCCCCACCCAGTCTCCCGTCCTAGCGAAAATCCCCCCCCAAAAAAAATTTCCCCTCCCATCACCTATACCTCCCAATCATCCCTACTAGCACAAATCTCCCATCTCAAAAAATTTCCATCCTAGCACAAATCCCCTCCCCCCTTTATCATATCATCTCTTTTAGCATAAACCCCTCAAATCTCCCCTCCTAGCACAAATCCTTTATCCCTACCACACCCCTTCCAACACAATTCCTCTAAACACTACTCCTAGCACACCTCCCCAGATTTCCCCTCCTAGAACAATTCTTACATCCTGCCACCCCAAAATTCCCCCTCCCAAAATAAATCCCCTCCCTCCAGTCTTCTTATGGTGCCCCCCCCCCCCAACCTTACATGATACCACAGTGCCCAAGGCAGCCTCCCCTTCTGCCCTTGTCCTGGTCCCGTGCAGAGCCTCCACCCAGGACAGGACCTCTGTGAACAGAGGGGATTCCCTTCCTGTAGAAATTAACCAGTAATCTAATCAAAGTGCAGGTAATTGGGAACAAAGAAACTATTGCAACCAACATATAACAATACCATAAGTATTTACAGTATGGAAATAATAACTTTATATAGAAAGATAATAATAACAGTACATACATTCAATGTACAAACATATATTATCAGCAAAGGACCCCATAGGAGTCCTGGTGGAATTGTGCACATATACCTGGGTACATACAGGTATTAACTGAGATACCTCCTGTCACGGGTCACCCACACACCACGCCCACAGCTAACCGAGGCGCGCACGTGCGGCCGTGACTTGGGATAAGAGGGAATATAGGGCACTTAACTTTGAATATATAAAACCGTATATAAGACCGGCCGTGATACACTTTCAGAGCCCACACTACCTCTTGGTCACCACCTGAGGGAGACTCCACTCCAATCCAGCTGGTCGACCCCACACACTGGCAGATAAAAATCTTATATACAATCTGGTGCACTAATTAGAGTTGAGGAGCAGCTTAGCAATCACACACCCTTCTAGGATCCCTCCAGCTATCCTACAAGCTAGAACCCTGGTGTTAATCACTCTTCCACTGTCCACACACCCCCCACACCAGACACACCACAAAAGGTAGCCTGCCACCACCCAACAGTTTATCCGCAGAATGGTCTGCTGGGACACCCCACACACACAGATCTCTGTCTGGCAGATCTGTTACCTTTACAATCTGCACACAAAATCTGCCAACACACAGTGCAATTGCATACAGATTGGCAATGAGCTTGACTGAGCGTATAAAGGCACTAAAATACAATACAATCTAATCTCTCCGGAGATATGAGCCCATGCTTAAATACACAGAAGTCACTTATTCATTTTAAGATTTGGTAGCCCGAAAGTGGGCAGTGCCTAAAATATGTACAAAGTATAAAAAGTTACAGAAAATACAAAAAAATACAAGAAGACACACAAATGACTATTCACTATAAAATAAAAGGGAATAAAAACCAGAGATAAAACTTTTACCAAGATTTATCCTGCGACTGGAGCAAGTCAGGGAGAATCAGCAATCTGTCAGTCAAATAGAACTGGCTCCATACGAATCACCCTGTCCAAATCTCCAGTCCTCAATTTATGGGAATATGGACATGGGCTGGACATGAGTCCTGGGCCAATTGCCTCTGGGGGGTGTTGCTGTACCCACCCACAGAATGTTCTGGGTGCTGACCTGCCCAAAGTCAATCGGACCAAGACGAGCTTGAATCACCAAGTCGGGGATTGAATTTCCGACACCAGCGAATCAGTCCGATCGCGACAGTACCAATCACTGTTATCGCACTCCAGCGCCACATAACAATTTCCTGCATTTTTATGGCATTCTACATAAGTCACAAATATAGCTTTTATATGCCGATGCAGCCCACAGAGTGCCCCATCAGAAGGAAGTATTTTCATCTCTCTGCAACTAATATTTTAGCTTGTATGAGGGATGAAACATACTCCTTTGATGTATGTATATACTTTAAAGCTCTGGTCTCCTGCTGTCATGAAGCCAACCTGTCTCCAGCCGTTTCCTCTTTTACTTCAGGAAGGTGGCAAAGTCTGATTATTGACAAATCTTTTTGGCACTTAGGTGTCACATCCAGAGAAAGCTTGATCACTTCAGATGCTAATTAGTGACCATCTGTCTCTGAATACCTCTGACTGAATATTTCTTAATGACAAGGCGTGCAACTACATTTACAATTACATATTGCTACAGGTCACATCTTATCTACTCAAATCTGTACATTTTATGTCACACCTCCTGATGAATATTGCAGAAAAATCCACTTGCAGGGGCCCCTGAGGATGATGCAATGCCTGTCTTTCTGACCTGATGACAAGACAAGGTCATGGGGGAATCCTCCAACTGTTGTCCAACCAGCCTGGAACGGTGCTTCTCACTGGCAGGAACTATGCGATGGCACTGGAACCCGGAGTCGCCTATGTACTCTACACTTTAGTCCCTCCCTAGTAGTTTCTACTCTAACATGCAATTGGACCTCTAACTACTAGAAATGGCCACTGGATGCCTAACCTGGCTCTACACAAAAAATGGCAACTGTCCCAACCTATAACCAGTCATAGCAGTAAGGTGCACATGAAAGGGCAATGCACATCGCAAACAAACAAAGGATTTCCCAGCAACACTTACCAGCTAGCCTGTGAAAACAACCAAATTTTTTAACAGTTTGCGTTAAAAACAGAGCACATATTTGTAAATACATGCGTAAGCCACAGTCCCACATAATTTCCTTTGTTTGTTTGTGATGTGCATTGCCATTCCATGTGCACCTTACTGCTAAGGCTGGTTAAAGGTTGGAACGGTTGCCATTTTTTTTGTGTAGTTGGCTAATTTGGACGCAGGGACACACTGGAAGCCTTTGCTGTCATTTTGGTATAGCTGGGCATCACACGTGTTTTCCTGTACCTTTAAGGAGGGTTGGGCAGGCACCTCCAGGCACACCTGCCCTTAACCTATCCATTGATACATGTGCTCCTATTATGGAGGCTTTGGAAATTTTAGTTAGGTCCACAGTATACAGAGGGCCATAGACATGGGACTGTGGCTTATGCATATATTAGCAAATGTGTGAAAACAAAACCCTCTATTTTTAACGGAAACTGTTAGACAGGACCAAATTGGTCATTTCAGACTGGCTGGTAAGTGTTTGCTACAATTTTTCTTGGCGAAGTGGTGCATTATATGACAGAAATGTAGGGGTGCCAATATTTTTGCCCATGACTGTAACTCAAGTAGCTAGTGTCACTAATTTCGAGTCAATGTGTTTTGCGGTGGTACCACTTCTTCAGTAATATGACAGATGCTTTACACATGAATCTCTAATAAAATACCACACACAGAGGTAGCAATGCTGACATCTTAAATTGTGGGGAGGAAAAACAGGGAACAGTCATACTATATCTGAGTATAAAACCCCACCAAGTAGGGTGCATAAATTCCTGCCTGTGTAGCTTCAAAATGCCTCTAGAAAACAGTCAGAAAGTTCAGTATTCTCTAGCCCAGACAATGTTTACTGTATACATGTTAATAACCTTCTATATATCTCATGGTATAACTGTGGTAAGAAGCAATTATAGACAGTTAAACTATTGAAACATAGGAATACTTGGATACCGTCTCTCTGCTTCTGAGAAAATACAGCAGCAGTGGCAGCCCCTGTATAAGACCATGGGGGAGATTTACTAAAGCTGGTTCACTCAGAATCTGGTGCAGCTGTGAATGGTAGCCAATTAGCTTCTAACTTCAGCTTGTTCAATTAAAGTGTTACTAAACCCTGGACCCTGCATTCACTATATCTGGTCTCCCACTGTACACAGAACATGGAAATGCAATTATTTTAGTACATATAAACTGCTAAATACCTTTTCTCATCAGCAGTTAGAGCAGTCTTGTGACTTCAGCAGAGCACTGGTTAAAGCTTGTAGGGGCAGTTTTCTTTCTGCTCTAGGAGGATGTGAAAGTCCTGACCCTCTGTCTGGACAATGCTGATTGGTCCTGTGCGATCGCATGCACTCTCCCAAGAAAAAGAAAAAAAACCTCTCTAGAAATACACACCAAACTGAGCATGTGAATGTGACTACGGATTCAGTCTGTATCAGGTGGTCATTTCAACAAGAGGAGGGGCAGAGAAGAAAGGATCAAACAGCCTTTTTACACAATGCAGAGGATTAACCCCTTAGGTTCCACAGTGAGTATAACAAGCATACTTTACTGCATATACAGACTGACTTTACTGTTGTGGGTTTAGTAACACTTTAAGCTTTGGCGAAAAAAACAGGAAGCTGATTGGTTAATATGCAGCAGTACACCTGATTTTGCACTCTCCCCAATGCACTACGTGTTAATTATATATGACACTGTGATAATAGAAGCTAACAGAAAAGAAGAAGAAGATTCCTACAACTGTTTTTGATATTAAACAAAGAAGCTTTGATCCTGTGTCCTCATCCTAATCAGACATAAACATTATATTCATTTGTCAATCTTCCAGCTGCATGACATGATTCCAGAGATAATGGACTACATTCCTGGACCCCACCAAGGGATTAACAAAATACTGCAAGATCTATTAGACTTTGTGTCTGAGAGGGTGAAGATCAATCAGGAAACCTTGGACCCCTCAAACCCCCGGGATTACATAGACTGCTTCCTCATCAAAATGAATCAGGTACACTTTTACATTTATAAATAATAATTTTTCTTTTAAACCATCCTGTTGATATGGTCTGTGGTGTGGAAGTGACCTTTTATTTCAGCTGTTTACCACTTCAGGAGGTACTGGGCTTTGTAACAATAGCCAATGACAAGTTTCTGTGTTTGTATTAAAACAATTAAATTCCTATCTTAATTTCTGCAAATCAGATTAGATAGTTGAACTACAGTAAATCGGTTACAGAGGAGTGATTTTTGAACAATTAAAACCATGTATACCTGTTGTAGGTGGGGCCTCAGTGAAGATAATCACCCAGAAGGAACCACACACAGGGTCTTCTGCACTAGAGACAATGGAATAGAGTTATGGCACACTGGTGAACAAGACAGTCTCAATATGGCTTTTTGGTAGTGTAACTCGCAGTAATGTTACCAGAGGATGGCCTTTGCTAAAAAAGGTGGTGGTGTCTGGTACATCTACAGCAGAACTTGCTCACTAAGAGAGATCCTGAGAATGCTCTTCCAACTCCTAAGGTGTCATCTGAGCTATCTCTACTCGCTGGGAGCCTTTCTCTGCACTAAGCACTGTCCCTAGCCAGCAGGTCCCTTTCCCTAACGTGCCACAACTGGGCAGGTGGACGTGCATATGGGTCCCAGGTAAGGAAGCCGCTGGGCCATCCTAACAGGGAGCTCTGGTATCCTGTGGCACCGCTCTGCCCAAATGTTGGTCTGGGAACAACTGGAAAGATGGCCACTGTTCCCAGACCGGCATTCAGGCAGAGTGGCACAACGGGATACTGGAGATCACTGCCAAGACGGCCTGGCAGCTTTCCTTACCTGGGACCCATATGTACTTCCATCGGCCAGGTTCACAAATGATTATATCATCTACCATTTCTACCTCCACATTCCATCAGGAGATGTCACCATGGCTGTGGTGACATTGAGCTGACTTAATTTCCTTACCAATGAGTCTATGTTTTACTATGGCAGTTATCTGACCTATGAGATGTCATACCTTTTATCAACCTGATTAAAGGATCATATTTTAATTGATGGACTGAACTTTTTCTTGGGCAATAGTTTTATATACAATCATTAATGACTTATTGCTAATTACCATTGCTTTGTTTTCCTGTTCTTTGGATGTATATTTGCTTTGCCCTCAGCAGCATTGGATATGTGCGTGTCCATACAGTGCAACTGAGTGCCTAGTCTTGTTGTCTTTTTTTCTTTTACTGATATTAATGAGATTCTACAACGAAAGGATGCTTACTGTATATATAATATACTGTATATTGAAATCCACACCTGGGAATTATGTATAGTAACTGCCACCAAAATGCATATAATTAAACAAAAGAAATGCATAAAATGAAATCCAGATTAGAGTTTCCAGTCACTAGAATAATTCTTCAGCCCCTGGGAAGGTGCAAATGTATATGTCAGAATCCAGCGTACAAGTCGACCATAAAATAATTAGTCCCCTTTCACAGTCATATGGGATTGTTTATGTTGCAAGACGGTCTTTAACTCTCCATAAATTCTCACCACATAACAAAGCCAATCAAGTATTCCAAATCATATGTGTGAACTCCTCTTCCTCTTCTTTTAAAGAAGTATTCTCTCTTCATGCAAAAAATATATACAAAACAGCATATAGTGCATTATCTCCTTAAATTGCAATAGAATTTAAGTATTAAACTCACATACAAAAGTGCATCTAATGTGCCAACTTATCCACCAACGTGACAACATTCCAATATCTGTCATCCTTACCCTCCAATCCAAATTTTCTTGCTTCTGCATAAATAAATCTTGCAACCCTCTTCTTTTTATTTTCTTTCTTAATGCGATTCTCCCCAAAAAACAAAATATTCATGTAGTGTGGTACTTTGATAACAGTAGAATACTGATAGTGCTATTGTACTCACACTCTTTCCACCTTTGCGATCACCACAAACAAGTGCTTAATCCACCATTAGTGTCCCACCACCTTATGAAGCATGCACCTTACCAAATCCTCCAAATCTGGAGCATAGCAATCTCATAAACCACCTTTTTACCTCCAGTATTTGCCTCTATCGCCGGTTTCAACTTCGATGTTAACCATATGCAACCAAACCATAGTGTAGCAAATTAAAACAAACTGATTTATTGTTAAAAAAAGTTTTCTAAAGAAATATATTAAATTATATATTACACCTACTGTTGGGGGTTTTAGAATCAAAATATAAAGAAAGAGTGGGAACTTGGGAACTTATGTCTAACTTTTGCACAGTTAAGTGGATCAAATTAGTGATCCAACAGAGAGAAAGGAAATTGTAAAAGCCATGTATACACACTTAGAATGTCAGACGAATGATCGTCCATTTTTTATTTCTGCATGCTAGTCTCTTATCAAAAGTGAAGAGGTTACTAAAGTTACAAAAATTCTTTAATGACGGCATAAAAATTCTAAAGAATGTAATGTATTTGTATTGTATTTTCAGACGATTTCTGTACTGGTTAAACGAAAATAGTACGATCCATCATTGTGCAATAAACATTTTCGTGCTTGTCCCTTCTATTTTTTTGGATGATTGGTATGTACTAACAATCAGATTATTGTACAATCACTTTAAAAGCGGCATTTTTCGTACGATATTCTGATTGTGTATACGGGGCTCCAGAATCGTATACAAGACAGGGAACAAGAGCTAGACAAGTGTAACTTTTTCTGCTTGCGTTTGAAGTGGGTAGAAGTTTGTGACAATAATGTGATCTGAACATAAACCTAATAACACCTAAACTAAAAAATTTGAAAGAGATTAATAGGATTATTAAGGAAGGGTATTTATTGGAAGCGCTTCTTGTACAGGGGGCCCTACTCCCCCGAGCTTGGGTAACTCTAGTGCTCAGATGTAGATATATTTCTATTTCTTTCTGGGGTCCAATAACCCTCTTTAAGTAAATAAATAAATCGATTTCTGAGGAGTACCTAGTCTCTTCTGGGCACAATCATTTTGTTATTTTTTATTTTTTTTAAGGAGCTTGTTTCCCTTGATTATGGTAATCATTATTGTTAACTACAGGTTTCCCACTTTGGTAGTTTACTAGTTTCCAAGGGTCATTTCTTCTTACATCCTCAGGTTTACTATCATTCCTAATATTAATAGAAGATGATTTCACGTGTGGATTCTTTCTATTTTCCCCAATTCTATTTGTTTTTGTGTATTAGGGCTCGTTGACACTTGACTGTTTTACCAACTCTTGCCAAATGCCCCTTATTTATAGGTTTCATCTTTAACAAAGAGAAGTTCCCTAATTATGTTTATTTCCATAGCTAACAAAGCTAGTTTCCTTTTTTTCTTTTGAACTAAAAATTGAAGAAATTTGAATCCAGCTTTGTTAAAATATTGAAACCATTTCTTCAGTTCCTTATCTTATTTGTCTGGAAAAACATTCCATCTAAAAAAATCTTTAAATTATTCCATTTGCTATATATCTTTCTAAGAATAATATGTCCCATTGGACATGAAATTCTTTTACCATACCATTTTTTTAAACGCATGAATATCCCTCTAATGCTTTGATTATCACCATCACTTTTGCCTAACACCTCATCTGTATCAAAAATCGGATTTTTTTTTATTTAAATCGGATTTTTTTTATTTAAATCAGATTTTTTAAAATAAAATGTTTTTTGAGGAAAATATATTACCATCCAAAGGTTAGTCCATCATGAAATAAATATTAGTTTTTTAATTATGTAGAATAAGGCTGTATATGTTTAATTTTTTTGGTAAATAAATTCCATGAATCCATTCACAATGTCATGCTCTTTCAGAGGTTTTTGTAAGATTATTGGGCAGTTTCTCTGCCTACAAGATATTATCACAGATGCTTGGTTTACTTTTGCAGTTCTCAAAACTGAATTTGACTCAGCGGAGATCACATGCCTCTTCTTCACAGCAAAAATGTTATAACATGAACAGAGTTAAGAAAAAGACCTGAATCCTAACTTCTACAAACCTATGAGTACAGAATCAACCCCTTCAGTGCTAAGTTTCAAGAAGTTCAGTGAATAGAATAGAAACAATATTTTTCTGATTGTTTGGAGTGGAATAGATCTGCACAAGAAGAAAGTGAAACTAAGTGTGAGGAGGAAGGGGCTGACAGTCTAAGTTTCTTAAAATATATATATTTTGTTCAGCCAAATTAGTTAACAAACATGGATGTTTGTTTAAGCAAATAACATGCTGTAATGTTATTGTTTCAGTTGAATAAATCTATTTAAATTGTTATTATTAAGGTAATGATTATTTTTCTCCTTCCTAAGTACAACAGAAAAGTTGTCCAAATATGAATGATTAACCTATTAAACTGAGGATAAAAAAACTAATATGAAAAGTTGTTATTCTAAAAATCTTCATCTACTTGCATATTAAAGTCATACCAGCAAGAATTAGTCTTTATGTAGAAAACTAGGATTTATATCAAGCCTTACTGAC